ACACACACACACACACACACACACACACACACACACACACACACACACACACACACACACATTTACATTATATATATGAAAATATATAGGCCCTAATTAGAATGTGGTCTAGTGAATCAATATTTTCATCTATATCTTCATGCACCCGTGCATTTTTACTTTGAATAATTATATATTTATATATTTATATATTTATATAGGTATATATATATATATATATATATATATAGAGTAGNTATTTAAAACTGCGTAAAATGTTATTTGTGTTTTTAAATTTTTCTGAGCAACAAAAATGATTTGTGACCATCCGCCTTCAGGATCTGATCAGCAAGCTAGATAAACTAACGATAAACAATGCGAGGCAGACGCAGTGGCATCGGAAAGAAAACGAAAGAGCAAAAAAGCAGAACAGAAGATTATTACTGAGAAACTCCTCCGCTTAGTTTACAAAGGAATTTTCGATCGGCGCTGCCACCAATACGATTTTTGCGAATGCCTCGGTTTACTGCAAATGTTCGCTATAATCGGCTAAGCTGCGTCTGGCGGCCACACAATAATTTTCGGAATTTCATGGCCGGTTGTTGTTGGAATCGAACGTTTGGTTACATCGACATGCACCGTTAGGTATAAAGAACGGTATATGAGCAATTGAAAAGTAAATAGAAACCGCTAATTGTATTTATCATACATTTTACTTTTGTAGGCAAATAACACACACAAATATACTACTTGCTGCGTGCTCGAAATTGCGTGACGTAGACAGTGATCTAGCACGCTAGTGATGCCAGCGCCACTATCGCGCGAATAATAACTACCGTTGCTTTTGGTACGATATTATATATACGATTTTATACGATATATACGATAACCCTAACCCTAACCCTAACCCTAACCCTAACCCTAACCCTAACCCTAACCCTAACCTAATCCTAACCCTAACCCTATTAAATTAATAAAATTTAATTTTTAATTGTAAAAATTAATTGTTGTTATTAAAATGTTGTAAATAAATCATGTAAATATTTGCGTTAATTGAAAAAAAATGTTAAACAGATAAAGATAGAAAAATACAGAAAACAGGAAAATAATTAAAAAACGGATGGGATTCGATCCTGCGACCATTCATACTTGGCGCCAGCGTGCTAACCATTACACTGCTGCGACATATTGAAATTATAATTTTGGATGTGCTATGTATATCACGAGAAAACAAGCTCAACCAATCAGGCGTAAGTACCGTCAGTACCGTGACTTTAAGAGAAAAAAAATCGGCGACGGTACCGTTGCAGGAGCAACAGCCATAAGTTTAACCGCCACCGGGGCCGCAAGTCCGTCCAGGTAAACATGCATTATTTTGTTGAAATTTTTCATTAAACTAGAGAGAGAGAGATAGAACTCACGATTATTTGATATCAATGTAAAAGGTAGTCACGATCAAGGAGCTATATTGTATAATATTGCTCCTTCATCAAGACAACTTACCTAAACCGCGTGTTGTTTACGTCGTTATGTCTCGGAGAGGTGTGCCGTGTGCGGTGTGGCGCGAGGCAGATCACGATTTTATTTCACGAGATTATTTTGCGTAATAACTCTGTTTTAAGTAGACGTCTTATAACACAAACGTTTAGTTTTCATTTTAAACTAATTAAAACGTAGAAATGTGTAACATGTAGTAACTTAGTAAGTTTTTACGTTATATTAAAGTAAGACCAGACTAGACTGGTACGCGGTCGACAGTTCCACACGCTACACTAACACAGTCAGTGTAACTAAGTCAGTGTAGCGAAGGATATATGCTGGAGTGAAAGTGGCGAACGGGTACCAGTCTATTAAAGACTAGACCTGCAAACACTGACTTGACCACCCTCTGGTGGGATAATAAGCTTAGACAACATGGGGAAGAAGAATCATAGTTCTGGTCTTGGAAATACAATTATTAAGAACAAGTATAGCGGGAAAGCAAGAGGAACTGCCGAAACATTCGTGAGTTCTCTTTAGATTATGTAGTACTAGTAGTTACTGCAGTAGTGTCACTAAATAACCCCTGCAACCTATTTGGAAAAGGTACACCAGATTAGCTGAGCAGAATTTCATCTGATTCAGTGATTGCACCATGTGTCATGCATGATGCTGGTTAGCTCTAGTACTAGTACTAGTAGTAGTACTAGTAGTAGTACTAGTGTTGTCAATCGGTTGTAATTTCGTAATCGATCATCGGTTGGACCCAAGTAACCGATGATCGATTACAATCGGTTACTCGGGGTGTTGAATGCCTGCGTGTGCGTAACGTCGTTCGCATGTACGTGTGTGCATGTATGTGCTTGTTTAGCCCTGTTTACTGTTTGTTTTGCACTGTTTACTACTGTGTGTATAATACATGTTACTGATTCTCATCACTTTTCCAAGTTTTCTTGTTCAAATTTTTTTTTTCCCGATTAAATCGATTATGGATTTTCATAACCAAGCGCTTGGTTCGAGCCACTGTTCAACCGATGATCGAGTATAATCGATGATCGTGACATCACTAAGTACTACTACTAGAGCTAGATGCTGGTAGGATAGTGGTAATGATTGATAGGCGAACCAACAACTACGTATACAGAATAGAACGTCATAATACTTGCACTAACCATAGTTATACCGTACAGCAGCAAATGATATGAAAATATCAGTAGTGAATAATAATACTATCTCGGGTGCTGATCCAAAAGGGGGTTCGAGGGTGTCCGGACCCCCCCTTTTTACCACAAAAAAAGGGAAAAAAGCATACGCACGCGCGCGCGCACACACACACACTTCTTTTATATTGTCTCCATAAAAAAATCTTGTTTAGCGCTAGTTTTTCTGATAAAGATTTACTTATATATATGTAAATTCGTTATAAAAACTTAGAAATGGGCAAAGAGGGGTCCGCAGGCGTCCGGGAGACCGGATCTGATACTGAAATTTTTGCATTCTAGACATCAAAATTACTGCTCAGATGCTCTCAGAATGCACCACTTTTTTTTTAAATCTTGGGGGAGGTCCCCAAAACCCTCCCTAAGTGGCCTTCAGCAGCTTTTTAAAACACCAGAAAAAGTAAGCAGGAAAAAGTGCCCTTTATTTCTTCCTGGACACCCCTTTTCAAAAATCCTGGATCTGCCCCTGGATCTATTAATTATTATTATTCACTCCTGATAATATTACTATTAGTATTACTATTAGTATTACTATTTGATCGTCTCTCCCGGCCCCGACCCGTATACCCAATCGTATATGGATTAGGAGCACCAACTGAACAACTGAGTCTATGCCTATGGTAATAATGCCAGTCAGGGTTCTGTTAATTTCATTTCTTACCATGTCATGCTTATTTTCCCATACTCTCTGTTTGCAGCTGCATACCAGTCAACTCGACGATGGCTACGACTGGAATAGGCTGAACCTAACCTCCGTCACAGAGCAGAACACGCTTGACGAGTTCTTATCAACGGCTGAGCTGGCTGGCAGGGAGTTCACTGCGGGTACGAATGCGGGACCACCATGCAGTCACGTGTGCAAGTCTAAATGCTAATAAACGATCCAATCTGTCTGGCATTATTGACAGTGAATTTTTAGCCATTCATAAATGTTGTAAGGTCATTGTAAAAGGAATGCTAGGTTGACAATTTGACAAGGGAGAGCGGTTATCTCACTGAGGTGTAGTACTGGTTGGTAAGGTGAATTCTGTAGTACTGGTTGCATTATTGTAGACTTGTTATTGTATGAAAATATGACGTGAAATACAATAATAATTATTCATTACATTTAAAGTAACAGAGTATATAAATAACAACAGGGATTCTAGCCCTAACATGCAGATAATTGTGTGAACATGAGCATCTATACATAGTTGTGCTGATAATATGTTAATTAACTAGAGAATAATGGTGTTTCTGTGGTAACAGGACAAAATTCAGAAACAGCTGTTTATATTAGTGTGTGTGTGCGTTTATACACAGAGAAAAGGAATATCAAAGTGGTGGACTCGCAAACTGGTGGGCTTCCATCAACAGACGAACTGCTCTTGATGCAAGACGTACAAGACAAGCACAGAGAGTTGCTAAAGATTCCACGCAGGTGAGAAGAACGTGTGCATTTCACAATGAATTATAACACGCGTGTGAATGTGAGGCTTCGTATGGAAAGCCAGACTGTCGTGCAATGCGTAATAAAAAATGTGGTAATGTAAGTTGTATGTGGACATAATGTTAATAGACTGAGTTAATGTGATAGTTCTTTTATACCCATATCACTTTTGGTCAATCAACTGGGCAACAGTCGTTTATAATCGTAGATATTAGATTTATAGTGTATGTGTGTCATGTATCATGTTACGTGTTATCATGGATATATATACAGGCACGTGTATGTAATATGATTTTGTTTCACACATCAACGTGCAGACCAGAGTGGGATGTGACAACATCTGCAGAGGAGTTGCAGCAGAGAGAGCAGAAGAGCTTCTTGGAGTGGCGACGAGGCCTATCACAGTAAGCAGGCCGCGATACGTCATTTACCCTCCCCCTAGACGTGTACGGACACAGCACTTTACTGTTATGCTCGTTTACTTTCAAATGGATAAACCTCGCAACAAAAAGCCTATATAGACCTACTTTGAGCATACTTGCAGTGTGCAAACATCACGAAATGTTCTCATTGAGCCAGAGAAGTGCTAAGAACATTGGGATTTTCAAAATCGTGTCGGACACGATTTTTTTACACATCTAGCAGTAGCCCTACGCTAGCGCAAATAGTTCCTGGAACGAAAACACTATATGTGTTTCCTGATTGCATAAGGTAATATAGATAACGATATGATAAAAACAAATTTCAAAATTTTGTACTGAATAAACATCGAATAATGAATTATAACTTGTTTTATCTTAGAAAGGAACTGTTAATGAATCGAGCCGATTGCTCCGCTGTGTCCCGGATGTGTAAACATCACTGTGGTGCTACTTTCGTAAGAGAAGTAATTTCGTTTAGATTTTGAGAAGAAATGTTATGAACGTAGCGATACAAATGAGTTGGTAGTGAATTTTTGCCACATATGCAAGCTCACAGTAGGTATATATATGCATTTAGCTGCGAGGTTTTGCAACTTTAAGCCGTGCAAACGATAAAACGTGCAGTCCTGAGTATTTATTCTGGCATTCATTTCGATGTCGAGCTTTGTGACTTGAATTAAAGGTGAATTTGAAAATTTGTCGAATACTTCCTGCAGTAAAAACTAGCAACTTTCTATTAGTAAACTAGTACATAGCTATGTTAGTATAACAGGTGAGAAAACAAACTGATTGTTATAGTCGCCAAAAAACAATGATACATATAATAAAACCGTAAATTGACCGAAAAAATACACACTTAATGACTGTTGTTATAGGCTGCAAGAAATGGAGCACATATGTATGACCCCATATGAGAAAAACTTGGAATTTTGGAGGCAGCTTTGGCGAGTGATCGAAAGAAGGTATGCTACTATATCGTCAAGCAATGGTGTACAAAATTTAAAATAGAAAAGTACAATAGTTTACGGTGATTTACGGAGCTATCAGTGTTCATTAAACTATAACATTGTGTGCAATTACCAAAAGTCATTGAATTCAGTTGCTTTTTACCCCGTGAACCATCGTCGGTTCTCTGATCAAAAAGCTGCGAAGCCTTTTAACCTTTGAACTAACTATCTGATTTCCACCAATCAGACTACACCCTTGTAGCAGGCAGTACTGTGACAATCGTTCCTTGTCTTTCTCCTGTATTGAAAATGACCGGAAACCCTTCTAACCAGTTTGTGTTGCATCACGCCATGTTTTAAATGGTAATGGGGGGAACGCTTCGTAACTTTGTATCTGTGAATGACAAAAACACATTTAACCAGTATGTGTTATCGGTGTGACACCCCTCTTATGATTAGAGTCCCTATATACAGAGAGTTGCGCCATGATGAGTCGAAAAACTATCGGTCACGTGGTCGCTGGACGACATGTTGTTTCCAAATAGATACGCACGGCTATGGCGGTAAGAAAGTGTGCAATTAAACTATCATATCGTGCGAACGATTTGAGTTACATTTCTAGAAATCTAGATACACATAGACACATGTCTTAGCTATAATCTCTGTAAATTTTGAGTTTTTTGAAGCACTATTAGTCTAATTAATTACTACGGACCATTGTACAGCGTATCCATACAGCGCTGTACTTAAGCGGCAGCGGGGTGGATACATTTGGAAACAACATGGCATCAAATCCTGAGTTGGTGCAACTCTCTGTATATAGGGACTCTACTTATGATGTATATCTGATTTGTGTCGCTGTAGTGACGTCGTAATCCAGATCGTTGATGCACGAGATCCACTGCTGTTTCGCTGCGAAGATCTCGAGAAATATGTCAAGGAGGTCAATCCAAACAAGCTCAATGCGATTCTCGTGAATAAGGCTGACATGCTGACGGCAGCCCAGAGGTACGCGGCAGGGTAAAAAATACACGGGAGCGATGAGCGATTCGCTCTTCAAACCTCCGAAAATCGCTCCCGTGAGGCTCAAAGTAGCTCCCGTAAAAAAATTTGACGAGCTATTTTTCCCACAGAATTTTGAAAAAGAGCTCCCGTGAAAAAAAAATGTTATTTTTCCCCTGAGTACGCGACATAAATATACGGATAAATTAGTACTAGCAGTCATTGCTATAGAACAGATACCTGCTCATGATGATTGTGGCCACTGTTGAGTTTCCTGTCATTTTTTACTTCTTCTTCAGGCAAATTTGGCTCGAATACTTTGATGCTAACAACATAAGAGCGATTTTCTTCTCTGCTATGGCTGAGCTGGAAGACATTAAGGTATCATCTGCGAGTGGAATTTTATCTACAGTTATTATTCATTACACCTTCTTCACAGTTACTGTCGACCTGTACGCAATGCCTTGAAGAGTGTAAAAAGCTGTATCATGCTAACGTTTGAAGTGGATATCAGTCGAAAGGACAACACCTGGTTGCGTTTCATTCGAAGGTTGCTGGTTAATGTAGCCCACCTCGGAAGTAGTTAATAACACGGTGACATAAATAGTACATAATAGATAAGTAGTTAACGTAGGTATGTTTGTGTGCGCAGAAAATGGAGAAGGATATGAGGGACGGCAGTGACAGTGGTGCTGATGCTGACGACAGCTCGTCAGACGAAAGCCGTAATGCAGATGAGGATGAAGATGAGGATGAGGATGAGGATGCTGAGGATGAGGATGAGGACGATGTAGATGTAAGAGTGGGCGATCTAAGGCTCAACGCCGCGGCCGAGTCTTCCACTGCTGCTGCATCCGTCGCCTCCGCCACGCACGCTCGGACACCTACCCAGGTGGAAGATGTGGACCGTGAATGCGGTGCGGTCGCCTCGGAGAGTTGCGGCAACGGAGAAGATACGAGGAGGGAGGCAACGCGAGAGGAGGAGGCATGGAGAAGGAAGCTGCTGAGTAGGAGTGAGCTGCTGGATGCTTTTAGAACGATGTACGAGGGAGAGACCCACGTTCCTGGCGTCACAACTATTGGGCTGGTGAGCACACGCAGAAACGAGTTGTAAGATTATGCATAAGAGTTTATGTTCACATATAATCATTTAGATATGATCGTATATAATAATAATAACAATAATAATCATTATTATTACTATTATTATTAGATATTATGTTCTAAATTTTATTATTATTGCCATTTTCGGTACTATTATTTTGTTATTTATTATTATAAATAATGTAAATTCTGTAGTATAACTTTAATAATCAATGTTGATTGTATTTTAGGTTGGGTATCCCAATGTTGGCAAGAGCTCTACCATAAATGCCTTGTTTGAAGAGAAGAAAGTAGCCGTTTCAGCAACGCCTGGAAAAACGAAACATTTCCAGGTAAACAGATCATCTCGTATTGCTGTAACATCTGCTGCAAGTTTGTATTTGCCACACACGTCCGTTAGAAGACCACGCAAGGCATCATTGTGTATAAAGGCCACCACATATTATCTTTTGGTCTCCGTGCATTTACGGATGCATGTTTCCCTGCCCACTAACCACTAACCCCTGCTAATGGTCGATATACTCATGGTGTGTGTCAGTCCACTGACCCCAGTGATATTTTCGTTCAAGGACGTCTCTCAGTCCACTCCCTCCCCCTGCACGGTCTCTGCATTTGAGAACGTGTCTCGCACCTGTGAGATTATTGTAAGATGCACCATAACGCAGGGTCTCCAACCATTCCTCATTCTGCGGAATCATTACGATTTCTAGGCTTAATTTCCGCATTCTGCAGCGGCAAGGTTATATTCCTCATTTTAGTTGCACTGTACAAAATTTGCACTGATTGTTCGCTTGGACACATTGTTTTTTTTTCAGGCATTTTGGATCTGGCATGTCTACGGTAAATGGAACAGCCTAGTCAGACAGGCGCTGTCTGCAAGGTGTCGCGTAGTTTGTCTGCTAATCAGACAAGGGTTGTAGGGTTGAGATAGTGTTATCAGACATGAGAATATGGCCCACAGTATGCCTCAGAGTGCAGGAAAATGGCTTAAATATTTCAAAATTTTCTGGGGGGGGGGGGCATGAATCCCCAGACCTTCCTAGCACTGCCATGCCTATGGAACATTCCGCATTTGGAGTTCACAGGGTTGGAGACCCTGCATAACGGGCCCAAAAGGTGACGCCAAGTACTTCCCTGAAGCCAGTGGCATTCTACAACGTGGCGGCCTGGGCTGCGGCGGAATAAATTTGTTGTTCGTATTAGAATAATAAACGTTGGTTCTTCTGTCGTTACTTTATAAACACAACAGCGCCCCGCTAACTCCCGCGCCGCTCTCTTTCTCGCTCCTTGCAGACGTTGCTCGTTGACGAGACACTGATGTTGTGTGATTGCCCGGGTCTTGTCATGCCGACGTTCATCGCCACCAAGGCTGACATGGTGCTCAGCGGAATCCTTCCCATTGACCAGATGCGTGACCACGTCGCCCCGACAACACTCATATCCTTTACTTTGCTTCACCGACGTCTTTGTTCCTGCCTTTGTTCAATGTCTGTGTTCGTGTCTTTGTTTCTGCATGTGCTCGTGTCTTTGTTCCCGTCTGTGTTCGTGTCTTTGTTCCTGCCTGTGCTCGTGTCTTGTCCTGACCTGTGTTCGTGTCTTGGTTCCTGCCTGTGTTCGTTGTCTTTGGTCCTGCGGTGTTCGAGGTCTTTTGTTCTGCCTGTGTCGTGTCTTTGTTCCTGCCTGTGTTCGTGTCTTTGTTCCGCCTGGTTGTGCTTTGGTTCCCGCCTGTGTTTTGTTGTCCTTTGTTCTGTCTGTGCTCGCTGTCTTTGTTCCCGCCTGTCAGTGTCTTGTGTCTTTGTTCCTGCCTGTGTTCGTGGTCTTGGTTCCTGCCTGTTTTGCTGTCTTTGTCCCGCCTGTGTTTGTGGTCTTGATTGTTCCCGCTTGTGATGGTGTCTTTGTTCCGCGCCTGTGTTGCGTGTCTTTGTTCCTGTCTTTTTCCCGTCTGGCTGTTCGTGGTCTTTGGTTCCTGCTCTGTGTGTTTGTCTTCTTCCCGTCTGGTTCCGTGCTTTGTTCGTGTCTTTATTTCTGCCTGTGTGTCGTGTCTTTGTTCCTGCCTTGTTCGTGTCCTTTGTTCCTGCCTTGTCCTGTCTTTGTTACCGTATGTGATTCGGTGTCTTTGTTCCCCGCTAGTGTTCGTGTCTTTTTGTTCCCATCTGTGTTTCGTGTTCTTTGCTTCCCGCCTGTGTTCGTGTCTTGTGTTGCCCAATCTGTGTTTCGATGTCTTTGTCACCGCCTGTGTTTCGTGTCTTTGTTCCCGTCTGTGTTCGTGTCTCTTGTTTCTGCCTGTGTCTGGGTCTTTGTCCTGCTGGATGTACGTGTCTTTGTTCCCGTCTGTGTTCTGTGTCTTTGTTTCTTGCCTGTGTCGTGTCTTGTTCTGCCTGGTTTGTATCTTGGTTACATCTCTGGTCGTTGTTCCTGCCTGAGTTCATGTCTTTGTTCCTGCCTCGTGGTGTGTCTTTGTCCTGCCTGTTGTTGTGTCTTTGTTCGCCTGTGTTCGTGTCTTTGTTCCTGCCTGTGTTTGTATCTTTGTTCATGTCTTTGTTCCTGGCGCCTGAGTTCATGTCGTGGTCCTGCTGGTTGTCGGCTTTGTTCCTGCCGGGTGGTCGTGTGCTTGTGTTCCTGCCTGAGCTCGGGTCGTTCGTTTCCTGCCTGTGTTTCGTGTAATTTGTTCTTGCCTGTGTCTCATGTCTTTGTCTCCGCGCGATGTTTCCAGCTGGTTCATGATCTTTGTTTTTGCCTGTTTTTCTTGTCTGGGCTTCCCACCGCGAACCCCATGGTTTCGGTTCTTTTGTTTCCTGCCTGTGTCGTGTCCGTTTCGTTCCCTGCCTGTTTTCTTTGTCTTTACCCTGCCTGTGTTCGTGTCTTTGTTCCTGCCTGTGTTCGTGTCTTTGTTGCCATCTGTGTTCATGGCTGTGTCACCGATGTCTTGTTTATGTGTCACTGATGTCAGTGCATGTGTCTGTGTCTGTGTTATGTTTACTGATGTCTGTGTCTGTGTCTGTGTTATGTTTACTGATGTCTGTGTCTGTGTCACTAACAACAAAGTAATGCTTAACAGTCTATTACGTTTACCATGCATATAGTGTATACACGTACATGCACACACGCACACACACTACACTGGTAGCTTTAATGGCTATTGAACCTTTGTTTTGCTTAATTTCCCTTGACAACTAACCCTCATCACCTTTGTCAAAGACTTCCGAGACAGGTGTTTGAAGATATCTACAGCATTATTATCAAGAAGCCCCAGGAGGGGGAGCCACAAGACAGGCCAGCCACTGCTGAGGAATTACTGAATTCATATTCATGTGAGTGTAGTGTATATTTGTGTGCATTCAAACACAGTTGTGCTGTATCAACAAGATATTAGCTAGAGAAATTACAGGACTGTCTTGAATTTGGTAAATGTGATGTTGGGTGTGGATGCTTAGCCAAACAATGGCTTTTATGAAAGGCATGAATATCATTGGTTCCCGTATAGCAGAGATAGCAGCGTATATAGGTTTGACTTTGATAGATGCAGGAAAGACGATGTGTAATTATGCTCGTAATCTCTGGGATCAGATGAACAGACGTGGACAAGATTTTTGTTTTTGATTCAGATATGCGAGGGTACATGACAAATGCTGGTAGACCGGACGAACCCAGGGGTGCGAGAATCCTACTGAAAGATTACGTTAAAGTAAGTGTCAGGGAACACTTTTAACAGCACAATATGATGAAACGGTGACGATGATTTGCCATTCTGCCATCAGGCGCAAATGCTCAAATATGAGTTCAGTCTGTTCTCATGCAGTACTACTTAAAAAATTATTCTGAAACCATCTGTTGTATTATATGTATTATATGCATTATATATATTATTATAGTGTGAATATATGTAGTTGTGAAATAAGCTTTAAGATTCTGTGTTTGTGTGCTGATCTGTATTGGATTGTGACTGCACCTAGGGTGTTAATCAAGATAGCCATCAGTAGATTTAATAATTACTAAAATATTTAATTAAAGCTGCCAAATTTATCAAACCTTGTATGGTAACTTGAGCTGCACACTATCAGCTATAATCGATGAGCATTAATATTTTTATATAGCGTGAACGCTGTTCGTACATCTTCTTTTGCGCCACCTGGTGTCAAGCAAGAACACTATCACAGCTTTCCAGTCCTTCCGAAATCGCACGTAAAGCATGCGCCGGCAAAAGGCAAGGCTCAAGAGAAAACATGCAGCGGACAAATTGACGAGAACTTTTTCCACGAAGTAAGTAATAAGCAATGATGTTCTTTGTTTCTGGAATGTACAGCTTAACAAATTTCATAAACTTTTCTGTTATTGTTAAATGAAATTAGACTAAAAAACTACTAATTTACCCAAATACAATATATTATTACTATACCATAGCTCAACTAACGATAATAAATATAAAATATAATATAAATACCAACCTAAAATAAATATAAAGGCCCTCGCTCAACATTTCTACCTGACAAATAATCCCTATTTAGTAGGTGGGTGTATATAAAACCTGGTGTAATAATATACAACACTCTTCATTGTGGGCTATTGTGACTGACTAGCCGTAGATGATATGTGTCCCAGCATCTTTACCTTACTACTGTTGCGAGCTTTTACTTGTAATCGAACTGGCCTGGGGCCGCGCACTTATAAGCCGCACGATTATCCGCCATCAACTACGCTAATCTCCAAGTAGAAACTACAAATACTCGGCATGGACATAATCACACACCTGATATAAAAACATAACCTAGCTGCTCCCATTTCAACTGCGCGTTTGCTTAAAACCCACAAGAAACGGCAGAGTGAAAAAAGCTGGCAATTCTGGGCAAAATGCCGACTGTTTCCAAACAATATTTAAGCCTCGGTGGTCTAGGGACGTCCACA